GAGCAGTGCGAGGTCACTCGGTTCAGTCTGCCACCACTACGCACGCTTCATGCGCTAAGCACTATTTTTGTTTGTCCTCTGGCAACCCATTGTTCGAAAAAAGCGTGCGTACGTAACCGAAGCTCCCCCTGAGCTATACTTTTTGCGTTTCGGTTCACGGAACAAACTGAAAATCACGTACGGCGTGAGTGCACTCAAACCAAACTAACGGCCTAGGGCACCTACTGTTAACTCGAAGCAGTTGAAGCGACTCCGGTTTTCAGGAGAACGTTGTCGGTCAACATTTGCGTTGGTTCCACGAAAAACAACTCGCAGAGCTCCAACTTGTCAATATATGAAGAGCCCCCCGGTGACGTAAACTGGAGTCTGCAAACGAACTATCTAGTATTATCTAATATAGATAATATCAACGAGAACTAACATATGACTATTTGTACCAAAGCAACTGTAGCGGCTGTTATCTGTAGTAATTTTTATGTAAATGTAAAGAAAGAAAAGTGGACGAAAACGTAACCCGTAGCTGTCAGGGACCGAACGTGCGACCTTCGAATAACGCGTCCGATGCTCTACCAGCTTGGCTATACAGCAGCGGTCATGTATACCCCGCCCACGTTATGGGGTGTGCACGCGTGCATTTAAACGTGGAAGTGTCAGTCAACGCCGGGCCATGACTCTGCCTGCGGCGAATCATCTTTTAGACCAGCTTTCTTTCTTCACATTTACATTGCGATTACTCCTAATAACATCATATATACTTTCCTTGGTGTCATTGTCTGTTAATTCTTATTAATTTTGTGTTTACAGAAAAAAAATGAGCCTTTCAATGTCCATTTCATTTTTTTGGAAACATGGATAAAGCGTATACACTATTATGAACAATTAAAAGGTATAACTTTTTCTGTAAGCTTTATGTGGGCGTTGCGCGCTTCCGACGGTAAGCAATCCGCATAGGGATGACTGACAACCGAGCCTGTGACCACAGCGGCAACGAAGAAACAATCGGACATATATTTTGCGACTGCTTACAGCACAACGCACTTAACAAGTTCGATGGCCGACCTTTGTCGGAGAGGAGGGAATTCTATACGCCATCGACGGGCCACAACGTCACACGAGGAGGCCCTGCAAGCGTTGCTGCGTTTCTTAAGATCGACCGCCCTCTATGAACGACTGCAATCAAAGTACCCTCCTCGGGTGTTTTTGCCAGCGTGTTTACGCGCAAGCGTCTTCTTTAAGACTTTTTTTCTTTCTTTTCTCTTTCTTTACGCCTTTTTTCGACCCCTATTTTTCCACCCGATTGCACGGTAGCAAAACAGTTGCTAATATCTGGTAAACCTCCCAGCTTTCCTATTTATCCCTCTTGTTCACTTTTCCAAACATTGTGAAACTTACCGTGTTTACTTGATTAACAGCACAACAGCTGTATATGTCTGAAGCTCAGAACTGATATTATAATAGCTAGAGATTGCTGAATATAATATTATGGCTAGCGTTGAGTACTGATGGCGATGCGATGGTATAACAACGTAATGGTTAAGTTAGTACGTGTGCACTGCTACGACTCGCCCCACCAACTACTTCGCATGCTACACAATTCAGCGAGTTTTTCCTTAAAAACAATACTGCCACCCCCCCCCCCCTTTTTTTGAACAACAACAATGTATCATGGCCAAGTACCTAACTAGAGCCCTTTGCAGCGAGAAATAGAGAGAAACAACAAAATGAAAGGCTCGTGTACTTAGATTTTGGTGCACGTGAACGAATCCCCCAGGTCGTCAAGAGGAACGACGCAGTGTCGATATCGCAAGCCGCTGGTTCCAGCTCAAAACGAAAAAAAAAAGACAAAAAAAACGCTGACGAATCAGCACGGCCAATATATGCGGGAGGCCTGCGCGATTTTGAACGGAAAACGGAAAACGCGAAAGGAAAACGGACGAACAATAACATGAAAGGCGCGTCACTGTTTCGCTATACGTCGTTCTCGTTTTTGTCCTTTCTCTCTCTCTCACGCGAGTGACGTCGCGAGGAGCATGCGCAGATGCCTGCACTCGAGGCCCCGTCAGAGATGACGCCCGTCTCCGATCCGCGAACAATGCTTTGACATAGCACGTGTGAAAGTCACACGTCTAGCTGATACACTTGGGGCACTCGCGCGAATCAGCAGCTGTCGACAGCGTCGCGGTAGCCCCCCCCCCCCCCCCACTTTACGCCGTCCGCACAAACGTCTTTGGATATTCTTCTTTTTTTGCACATTTTTCTTTTCTGAAGTCACACTACCAGCACTCATCCTGCGTGCCCATGTATTCCTTGCCTACATACTTAGGCACTGCGCCGTGCTCCCGACTGGGCTGCAGAAATTAAGTGCCTTTTCTCATCTTCTAACCACTACCCTACATACTTATGCGCTGCTTCAACGATGCGATTGCACCAAGTGGACCAACTTTCGCTACAGTTCTTTTTCTATACTCTATTGTATTGGTTCCAGACGAAACAAAATCATGGCAGATTCTGATGTTACCGCATCATAGGATGCATTAACGGTCCAAATTGCTCAATACACTGGTGAACTGATGTAGATGCGGAGTGGACTGACGCAAAGGCGCTGCGGTTTTTATCAAAAGTCACCCCTGTCACACGGGCACTTAAAAGTCTTTTAAGTAAGCGGTCTTTTTCCGAAAAGGAGTTCCTGACAGCAGACACACGGCACAGAGCGAACTCATTTTCAGAAGCGGTCTTTTTCGTAAACGGCGTTCGTCGATCTCTTTTACGGCTCTGAATGAGTAGCCTCGAAACCAGTGGGCGCCAGCAATTTTCGAGTGGTGGGAAAAAAAGAGCGAATTCTTATTTTTCTGTCATCAAAACTCTTTGTAAAAACAAATTTCATATCCTGCAGAAGGTGTAATGAACTCTTTTAATGGTTATTTCCTTTTCTAGTCTCGTAAGCAGCTACAACGCGTCGGCAATATCACGTGGTGATGCTCGGTCTTGCACAGTAAAATTTTTTACACCCTTATGGGTGTAAAAAGGGTGTTTTCAAGATTTACACCCTTTTTGAATGAATTTAACACCCTTTTTGTTGCTGGTACACCCTCAGAGAAGGGTGTAACGGGAAAAAGGGTGTTATTATGCCGTTCGTGAGGGTGTTGAAGAACAGAAGGGTGTACACCTATAATTGTTGGAATAAAAATTGTTCCGTTTAACGTCCCAAAGTTGTCATATAATCATTAGAGACGCTGTACCGAAGGGCTCCGAAAATATAAACCACCTGGGGCTACTTAAGGTGCACCTAAGTCTAACTACACAGGTCTCGCACTCTTTCTCGTCCATTAAAAATGTGGCCGCCGTGAACTGCCGGGATTCAATCCTGCGACTTGCGGGTGAACAGTTCAGCACCATAAGCACCAGACCACCGGCGCGGGAGTGCACGTGCAAGAATCGAGCTGCATCCATGCTTGCAAATCAAATACCACGCATAGCGCAAGGAATGCATGCCTTTCCTAAGATAACAATGTCGCAGGGATGGAAAAAATCAACGAAATGATTGAGGCATTGACAAATTTTACAGAACACTAAGAATAATTGAGAAAATGTAAAAGAGACTAACTTCTTCTCGCACTGTATGATTCGACATGCTTTGCTGCTTTATATCGTCCACATTATATGTGAATAAATGAATGGGCTACTGTCACGATCTACGGACAGCACATATTCATGTGTAGAAGCAATTGAGAAAAAAAAAAGCTTGAATTTATTACAAAAACCCCTTGCTCGGTCAAAAGCCGTTCGAGTGCAAGTTGTTTTCACAAGATTATCGAAGACGAGACGTGCTTGGTCCAAAAAGAAAACAATGCACTACCTTCTGCAACCATGCGGGAGCACGGGAAGTGGTTTTTTAGGTGAAGAAATAAAGGTCAGAGAATGGCACGGTCAGTGCACGCAGCGCCTTTGCGAAGCGAAGGGGAGAAGGGTACGAGAGGAGGAAGAGACACGCCTCTCGCCCCCCCCCTACACACACACACACACACACACACACACACACACACACACATATATATATATATATATATATATATATATATATATATATTGCGGGACCTGCGACCCACGCCGTAAAATTTGTATTTGCTATCTATTCTCTTTGACATCCCCTCGGGGGGGGGGGGGGGGTATGAGGTGATCAGCAGGGGCGCTGCAACCCCCGTCGAGTTAAAAAACTTACGTCGAGTTACAGTGCGGAGTGGCTATGAAAAAGAGAAAAGAAGAGAAAAGCGAGCCCCGTTATTGTCTGCTTCAAAGAGCGACACCGCCACAGTAGCTCACGAGGGATGGGGTGAGGAGGAATAAAAAGGATAGGAGTAAAGATGTGGGAAAGCCGAAGAAGGAGAAGAGAAGAAGAGACGTGTGGTAAGCCACAGCGAGCGAGGACAAATCGAGGGGATAGAAGAGATAGGAAAGATGGAGCACGGTCACTGGAGTCCGAGGACGGGGCGCACCTGCGAGAGCTCCTTTCGGCGTCGGTGGATGGCGTAGAACAAGTCCAGTAAATCAGAGCTGCACTGTCGTCGGAGGTGGAAGGTCGTCGGCGGCAGGAGATGACGTAGGGCGAGTCCAGTCGGCCAGAGCCACGCTGACGCGGGAGATCGCAAGCGCGCGGAGCGCGCGAGCGCACGACCGGTCAGCTCGAAATCCAGCAAGCGCGAGACGAGTTACAGTGCCCCCTCTCTATTTCTCTATGTACCTATAGGGATTTACATTGCCCCCTCAGTGACCAAGGGTTGCCCCCGCCCCCCTTCCCCCGTGGTGGGCACGCCTATGCATAGGCACCATCAGTCATTGCAATAAAATTTTGTGTGTAAATGTGTGCGTCAACCATAGTACATTTCGAAGTCAAGAACATCAGTGTTTTAGGTGATTATTACCGCTGTTCTTCATTTGTTAAAAATGCATTGTACCTGCAAGCGTTTCAAACTTCGCGCGCTAAAGTCACGTGTTAATTTCTTATTTCGTTTTTTCGTAAAAATAAAATTATTTTTGCTGCTTTGTTTTTATGTTATATATATTTCCGTTTACTCTTTGTACTTAACCGCATTACTTAAGCATTTTATTGCGCCTTTGTACGTCTGCGGAGCTGTAACCCCGAACTTGTTTTGGCGTGCTCGCTGGTCGGGCGCTGCAGCTTGTCGGTTCTGCATCGTTTTTTCTCGTTTTTTGAGGTGTGCTTGCGCGCTGCGTTCGTGTTTTGTGTTCTGCCGGTGCTGCCTATTACGAAGATGAACTCTACTCAAGCGAGGACGTGTGGCGTCGCATTTTGGAACACTCGCCAGGTACGTACCACATTCCTGCTGTCGGCGCTTTCTCAACACCGAGAGCGTGATAACGACGCCATGCGACGTTTTTCGTTACATGTGGGCGATAAGTGAAGTTTTTTAACGTAGCGAACCTGTTTGTGTGTGTCATTTCATCAGGACGAAGGCGTATTTGTAGGAAGTCAAGCGTGGGCGAGCTTTTTCTTTCGATTCAAGCATGCTGCGGTGTGTGAAGCACATGGTGCGTGCGTGCGCAGTGGGAATTTGGCGGCGGGTTTGTGCGAGTTGTGACGGCGCTCGCCTCTGTCGGCAGTGGTGTTGGCAGGGAGCCCTGCTCGCGATGGACCAATATTTTGGTTAAATAATTGTTGGGCGAAGACGGCGTTTGTTAGCTGTAAGCGTTGATTACGCCTAGGGCGCGTATGTTTGGATCTCTTAACTTGAGGATTTTTTTTTTTTGCATGCCTGTTCATATTGTGTGCTACAGGAGTCAACGGGTTCATTTGTTGTACGTTTCATACGTTGTACGTCCAAAGCAGTTTGAAAAGTTTCGTATGTTGTACGCCCTTTTTTTAAACTGCTATCAGAAATTGCTGCGGGCAGCCGAACGTATGCCGGTGTATGCATCCACGCCGGCACGCATCTTTGAACTACCGTGTCATTCGAGTTCGCGTGCAGCATGCTGCCTCGTCTTAGATACGGCTCGCAAGGCTTGCACGTATGTACGCTTACGTGTTTATGCAGTCCGTTTAGTCAAATCTGAGCTTACGTTATACACTCGCAACATAGGTTGTCTGATGCGTTCGGAACCCATGAATTTTGAGCCGTTCGTTAAACTTGAACTGTATTTCCGAACAAAATTTTCATGGCTTATTGGGGCCGAATAACTGTAGCTTAACTGTGCGAGCCCTAATTCGATCAGTAGTTCATGCGGTAGAGCACATTTTATTTTATTCAGCTTGTTTTCGCTATGCTTAGATTTCATTATTTTGTGGTGGTTTATTAAATATTGTATGTGCCTCGCCAAAACTTTGTGTTCAAACTTCGCTAAGCAATTTTACTTGTACGAACAGTAAGAACAGTTTAGACCATCACCTCCAATGGCATTTAATAACAGATGACAAGCTTATGCCGATCTGGTCAGAAACACACATGAAAACATTGAAAAACCACACATTGGCCTCGAATAAAAGCACAGTCTTTGTCACTCGTGAATAGGGCTTTTGTGTGGGGGCCAAAACGTCATGATTTCAATTAGGGTCAGCATGTTGTTTTGTCTTCACATCAGATGACAAGCTTCAGTAAATTCTATAGGCATGCGCTACAGTTATAGAAGGGATCTGTGGTGTTTGGAGAAACAAATATATCATTTAACGCTCAAAACTTTCAATAATGTTATACATCATAGTATGCATACATAAGGCATGCACGTGTTGCTGTGAAAATGGAAAATTGGACAGTATGTTCATCTGACAATCATGAATATAGACTGCATGTTTCCAAGCTGTTGGCATTGACGCAATTACACAACTTCAGAAATCAGTCTCGTCAAACGTTTATTGTGTATTGCTAAATCGTGACCAATGCCTTCCAGTATTCTTGTTACTAGAGATCGTTGCAGAAGGTTGCATGCTTTATTGGGATGGTATTTAGCTCAAGATGGGTGCGTTGTATTAGCACTTCCACATTTTTTCCCATTATTTATTAGACAGCCTGTAATGAGGGGTATGTTAGGGATGAGTGAGGGGCACTGCCTTTTTAGCCACCTGGAATCATTAAATTAACAGCCGTAATTTAGCAGTTGACAATAGTAATATAGTGAAACCAATTTTCTTCGTTATCGGCATAATCGTTCTAATGTAGGCAGCCGAAAGAGAGTTGCATTAGTTGTGTTCAAACTAAAATTCGTAATATAACTTTATGTGTTACCTCCAATGGATACTTGATCAAAGTGCATACCGTCATGTACGCACTGCCCTATTATTGAATTGGCATGTATACGCACTATGCCAGAGCGCTATTCAAGTATATTTTGTGACAGATCTGTTATGTGAAAAATGCATATTCTTTCGTAAGGTTGCAGCTATGTTCGCCAAAAACATTGAGGATGTTTTTGTTGTAGCATGTCTGGTTTTCGTACATCCTACTCTTTTAAAACAAAACTTTCCAGATCATTCTAAATTGAGTTCCAAATTCTGCTTCGCTAACAGACACATCAGTAAATTGTTCTTTTGTTTCTCTCGCAGTCTATACATGCTCGTCGTAGGAAGAGAGTGTGGGAGACGTCTGGACTAGCCCATCATCCAAGGCTGGCTTGTGGAAAATTTGACTGCTGGTGCACATCAGTGGCGCATGGCTTCTGTTTCTTCTGAAAAGCGAGCTGCAGAGAGCCACCTGGTAGCTGTATTCAAGGAGCACAAAGGTTCAGGGTGTTCAAAGTTAACCCTTTTGTTTTTCCTTAAAAGAGAAGTCAGCGCTGTAAGTTATCTATGTAAAGCCACCTCTGCTGATAGCTATGTATCGAGGAGGATGCAATGTGAGACAATAATTATCACTGTCAGCGGTGCCATTAAGTTTTATTAATCAACTTAATAGTGACCACAGCAGGAGATCATGTATGTGTTAAATATTTGAGCCAGTCACATTTCTACATATTGTCACTTGTAAGAATTCTAGCATGCCTGTGCTCAGATATCCTGCTGGAAATTTAGTTGCGGCTTGCATTATTATGTGTGCAGGACAGTGAGCACTAGCACAGACTCCGATTTCATGCATTTAATCTGACCGTCGGTGGAAGGCATGGGCAAACATTAAAATGGTTACTCTTGCTATTCGCTGGTGATAGCAAGAACCGACTGCTCGTTCCGCTATGGAGTGATATTTTGCTAAACCTCACTGCCTTGCATGCGTAATCATGAAAAGCAAAATTAAACTTTCAAATGGGATATCTAGGAGCATAAACATAATCAAAAAAGTTTTCCAAGTGGGACTGTGTAGAAACACGACTGCCTCCAACTTTTTAATGCAAACATACCTGCTTATTTGCGTTACTAAAATTTCAATATTTTTGGTTGATAGGCCAGATGACAGCATTATTTTATTACTTTGTGTCCCCCTGGACACAATCTGCCAAGGTGTTTTTCTGTTCCTAAGGCTAAAATTCAATGTAACTAGGCAGTGCATTTAAGAATGTGTCAGTGCTGCTTACTGAGCTCTTTATTGGATATTTTGTTTTTTCCAAGACCTACTGAGTGTGTTGCTCGCCAGACTTGCATGTCATGTTAATTGATGCCTTATGTGCAGTTGGCCATTTAGAAACACTTTTTGTGTTGTGATAAAAAGTAGCACATTAATGATTTTATCTTCAGTGTAACCTTCACTGAATATTCTATTTTACTACATTTTTGTCACTGTAGTTATTTCATTGCCTTTGGGAAGTTCAATTCATAAGTACAATCAAGTGTTTTCCCACTGTCATACTTCATCGTACCTAACTTTGCCAATACCAAACCATGTCGGATATTTTACAGTGATACATACTCATGTTTAACATTGTTAATGATAACTGATAGAAGGCATACTAGAATATTGTAACGCGAGTCCTTGGATAGGAGGGTTGAATGGTGAATTTTTTCAACTACATAGTAATATCTGCTTGCTTTATTTCATGTCAAGTGTAATGAGAATAATATTTACCGAGGTTAACGTGTTAAAACCATGATATAATTATCAGGGACACTGGAGTAGAGGGTTTCAGATATTTTGACCACCTGGGGTTCCTTAAATCCATCCACGTCTAAGCAGACACGTGTCATGCATTTCCTCCTTAATCGAAATTGCAGCCACCACAGCCATGGTTTGATTTTGTGGCCTTCAGTTTAGCAGTCAAGGGTTACTTGAAGCGTATATTAGTTGTGGGCTGTGGTCTTGCTTCCATGATGCATCTTAAGTACAGCAGTTTGGTGCCAACCAGGCATCTCTACTAGTGCACTGGTGTTGTGTTTTTGCATTCGTAATTTACTGCAATATTTAACTATTTTATCAAGATGCATTTCTGAGCAGCTCTGCGAAGTCTGTGCTGGTGCTTATTACATTCCTAATTTTTTGTAAGAGGTAATGATTGTTGCATGTATTCTGAGTTAGATATGAAGTTACGAATTTTACTTCTTTTATACTCTGTAAGAGTGTAAAGCCCAACAAGTCACTCTGTTATACTTTGCATATTGTACATCAGATGGCTAAATTGTGTGTGCAGAGCTTATATAAACAGCCCATAGTGTTTCGAATGCCTTGAAAACTGCCTTAGGATCAGAAAAAACTTGTGAAGAGTGGGATAGTCTGGGTGAACAGTGGAAGTTCCTCAGATAGGCTGGCTGATGTTTCGATAGGACTTATGTTCGTCAAAAGGGCCGTTTCTTCTCATCCTTGGCATGTTAGCTTTAAGGGGGTTAGTAGAGATGTCATCTCCTGGTGGTGGTGCGTGTCTTTGTTGGCGATTGCCGCCGGAAAAGAAAAAAAAACTAGAAAGCAAACAAGTGCAGTCCTCACTTCATTTCAAGTTGACTGGTAGCAATTCACAATGTTCTCGGAGGGTAGAGAAAAAAATGGAAGCAAAGAAGAGGAAACACGCAAAGTAGGAGCGGTGTGCTGCCGCTACAGAGGCAAAAAAAGCGAAGAGCTTTAAAGTTTGAAGCCAGCAGACAGTCCCCGCGTTTGGCCATCACAAAGGGTTGCCGACGATAAAGGCCTATGCTGTTCTCGAACATCTATGAATGGGACTCGTAAGAAGGCGGTTACGAAAAGGCGCGAGAGAGAAGCAGGCAGCTACCTTTAAATGCTAAGATTTCAAAGGTAAGCGACAACATGTGTTTGGAAGAGAATGTGTTTAATTGGGAAAGTCATTGGTTAAAATATGCTTTCACTATCCCCGTAGGTGGGCCGCTCAACAGAATTGCCTCAAGAATTTGGCGGCATGTTGGCAGAGAAATAGAGAAATTCAGAATGCAAAGGAAATAAGCATCAACGAGAGAAAGGCAGAAAGAAAGGAAAAAATTAAAAAAGGCGGGTTGGAGGTAGATGACACGCTAGTGTTAACAGACGAGGAAAGGATAAAAGAGACGCAGAGAAATTTGTGGCTTGGCAATGACTTAAGGGTGCACGGTAGTAGTGTTTTTTGAAGCGACAAAAGAAGAAAGAAAGCTGTGGTTGAAAGGTTCTGGCAAATAAAAACTTCGTAGTTGTGTGTGTATAGGCACATGTATATCTATATTTATAATTTAAAAAATTTCGAGAGAACATCAATAGTACACTTGTAGTCTAGGAGCGATTCCATGTAATACCGGTTATGTCTATTTGAAGGTTGAACCTTTCTCATTTCTAAATGCTGTCGTAATTATGCTATGGCTTTCAGTGATTCCAAATTGCGACGTGCTACATTGATTCGTGATCGGTGTAGGTGCTTACATTTCTGTATCAAATGTCAGTCCATGTATTTCCTCTCTCATGGTGAGCAGAAATTCGTAGAACATAAAGCTATGCTTGGTCGAAATTGGGGCCCTGTTGGTTGAAGTGACTGGCTACTGCTTTTGGTAAATTGTGTTTTGTGTCTGCACAGTGGTCGTTCAGTCTTACGTGAATTGGCTGCCCAGTTTTGCCTATATATTGTCTGCAGGTGGCGCACTTAAGACAGTATATTAGGTTGTTCGAAGTGCAGATGAAGATCGATGGGACCTTGTGAATGTAGTCAAATTTTGTGCTTTTTAAGTTGTTAGCCAGCTATATATTTTTACAGGTGGAGCATCTGGGCCGGCCACAGAGACCAGACGTCCTAGTGTTTGCTTTAAGTTTTGCGGGAATTAGAAATGCGTGGCACGTGGCATTTGCAACGCTAACTTAAAGACATGCTTGTTCACGCAAACTTAGACTAGGACGTCTGATCCCTGTGGCCGGCCCAGGTGCTCACCCTGCAAATATATACAGCCGGCTACCAACATAAAAAGCACAGCATCTGACTACATTCACAAGGTCACATAGAGCTTCACCTGCACTTTTAAACAACCTAATATACTTTTCTGAGTGTGCCAGCTGTAGAAAACAATATATAGGCGAAAGTGGGCCGCCAATTCACGTAAGACTGAACGGCCACCGTGCAGACACAAAGCACAATTTACCGAAAGTAGTAGCCGGTCACTTCTACCAACAGGACCACACTTTCTAAAAAGCAAAGCTTTATGTTCTACAAAATAATTTCCGGTCACCACGAGAGAATAAATACATGAAATCATAATTTATACACAAATTTATGTCCCTACACCCATCAGGAATCAATATTGCACGTGGTAATTTGGAATCGCTGCAAGCCATTGCATAATTGCGGCCATATTTAGAGACTAGAAACGTTCAACCTTCAAATAGACATAACTGGTATTACATGGAATCACTCCTAACCTACATATTGTAATAATAATATTCACTCTAAATTTTAAAACTTTAATTATAGATATACATGTGTCTATATACACACAACTATGAAGTTTTTATTTTCCAGAACCTTTCAACCACAGCTTCCTTTCCTCTTTTGTCGCTTCAAAAAACACTCCTACCGTGCACCATTAAGTCATTGCCAAGCCACAAATTTCTCTGCGTCTCTTTTTCCTTTCCTCGTTTGTTAACGCTAGCGTGTCGCCTATCACCAATCCGCCTTTTTTTTTTCATTTTTTCTTTTCTTTTGTGTTTCTCTCGTAGTTGCTTATTCCTTTTGCATTCCGAACTTGCCTATTTCTCTGCCAACATGCCGCCAAATTCTTGAGGCAATTCCGTTGAGCGGGACACTTATGGGGATAGTGAAAGCATATTTTAACCAATGACCTTCCCAATAAACACGTGGTCTTACAAACACATATGGTGTCGCTTACCCTTGAAATCTTGGCATTTAAAAGTAGCCGCCTGCTTCTCTCTTGCGCCTTTTTGTAACCTCTTTCTTATAAGTCCCATTCATAGATGTTCGAGAACGGCATAGGCCAATTGGCAACCCTTCGTGATGGCCAAACGCGGGGACAGTCTGCTGGCTTCCAACTTTTAACCTCTTTGCTTTTTTCTTGTCTGTAGCGGCCACCCATTGGCAGCACACCGCTCCTACTTTGGGTGTTTCCTTTTTTTTTTCTTTTTTTCTCCACCCTCTGAGAACATTCTGAATCACTACCACCCAACTTGAAATGAAGTAAGGACTGCACTCCTCTGCTTTATAGTTTTGTTTTTCAGGCTACGATTGCCAACAGGGACACATGCCACCACCAGGAGATGACGTCTTTACTAACCCCCTTGAAACTAATATGCCAATGATGAGAAGGCTAGGCACCTTTGACGAAGATAGGTTCTCCTATCGAAACTTTGGTCAGCCTGTCTGAGGCATTTCCACCTGTCGGCCCTCGTTTTGGTTTTGTTATGAAGTGTGTGTTTTTGAGAAATGG